AAGTATCTCGGGATCTTGTTCACGAGTGAGGGTAGGATGGAGCGGGAGATTGACAGGCGGATTGGGGCGGTGTCAGAAGTGATGCAGGCACTTAACCGGTCCATTGTGGTGAAGAGGGAGGTTAGCCAAAAGGTGAAGCTCTCGATTTACCGGTCGATCTACATTCCAACCCTCACCTATGGTCACAAGCTCTGGGTAGTGACCGAAAGAATGAGATTGCAAGTACAAGCGGCCGAAATGAGTTTCCTCCGCAGGGTGGCTGGGCTCAGCCTTAGGGATAGGGTGAGGAGCTCGGACATCCGGGAGGGACTCGGAGTAGAGCAGCTGCTCCTCCACATCGAGAGGAGTCAGTTGAGGTGGTTCGGGCATCTAGTAAGGATGCCTTCCGGACGCCTCCCTTGGGAGGTGTTTCGGGCATGTCCAACCGGGAGGAGACCTCGGGGCCGCCCCAGGACACGCTGGAGGGACTACATCACCCGGCTGGCCTGGGAACGCCTCAGGGTTCCCGCGGAAGAGCTGACGGAAGTGGCTGGGGAGAGGACTGTCTGGGCTTCTTTGCTGAGGCTGCTGCCCCCGCGACCCGGACCCGGATAAGCGGAGGACGGCGAGTATGAGTACGAATCTCTATTCAGGGTTCCTACGCAAGTATGGAAAGTATGGAAAAGTATGGAAATAAATTTGATCAATTTCCAGGTATTAAAAAGTATGGAAAATGAAAAATAAAGTATGGAAAAATATTTATGTTTCCAGATTATTACCACTGTTCTAAAATACTGTTTTCTAAAATAGAAAATTAGGTATTTCCAAAAATAATTTAATCAATCCGGATCGTCTTTTATGCCGGGCCAGGCAGTTTATGTGAGAGCAAACGTCTCAGAAAACATACCGCCCCTTTTACCTGATTGACAAGTGATATGTCCAGTCCGCTACATGCTGCACTATGTAGAGGAGAGGAGAGAGCTCTGTCTTACCTCTTCATAAACTTAAGTCATATTATTTTGCGCAACGGACGCTTCATATAATAACATAACAATATACTATTTATGGTGTTATGTCATCGTGTCATTTCTGTCTCTACATGGTCACGCGTTAACAATTCTCCTCTGCTCTCTGTATTGTGCACGGTGGAGTTTCGCCACACACACAGGTGATCACGCTAGAGCGGCTCGGGCCGCATTTTCCTGACCAAACCTGACCCCGAGCCCAGTGCAGTTTGTCAGCTGACAAAGTTATTGTTATGGACACTGTGTAAATAACCAGCAACAAACGCACAGACAAACAGCCGCTCGCACAGCAGCGCAGCACGGCACTCTGAGCTTGTGTTGCGTTCAGGCGTTGTCACGTAAATAACAACTTCCAGCACTTAAATAGGTCATAGCACAAAACAGCAGCATGTCAAGTGACTTTTTACTTTTATTATATTCAATAAAATTTTATTTTCCTAAATCTTGAGACACCTCATATGTAAGCTAGACAGACATTTCACCTGCTCATTACTGTGCACACATGTACTGTNAGCAGCCTCAAACGCAAAGTACTAATCAGCGTGGATTAATTAGATTTTGTCGCATAGGAAACATATTAATTAATATATAGCCTGCAGTATATTAACATATTCTTCCTCCATTGTTGTTGTTGTTGTTGTTTAGTACTTTTACATGTAAGATGTGACAGTTGGTCTTTGTGGTACGCTATTTATCCCATCCCTCCTGCAAAAACTGACAGTGACGAGCGCAGTGTTTTAACAAAAGCTGAACATTCTTTTCAGCTCTCAGTGACCAGTAAAAAACGCTAAACATGTAGCGCTCAGCGCAGAATAGACACTCAGTGCCTTGTCAGGCTGCTGTCGTTTGTTTGTTTGTTTGTTTGCGCTGATTGCAAAGAATTAAAAAAAATACGCTGGCCTCAGGAAAAAATGCTTTTCTTTTTGATGAGTCGAGACAAAGCTGTTGCTGCAGCTGCACTTTTGCTGTCTTCCAGGTGTTGTTGTAGTTGTAACTAGAAAACTTTTATGCATTTATGCTGCCTCGTTGGGTCATGAATAATAGCAACCATTGTGTCTACAATGCGGGAGAAATTTGAGTACCACCGTGTTTACAGAATTGAGGTATGGACTTGATGATACCAAAGTATCGGTTCTTCTGACATCCCTAGTTAGCACAACCTCACAGAGCTGCTAGCATGGCTGTAGACTCTTGTTCTAGCTTGACTATATTTAAAATTTTTAGATAATGTTAAAAGTCGATGTTCTAGTGGTAATATCGAAAACATATTTTTCACTCTTTAGACAGTAACTTTGACCTTGGTAATGTCAGTTTATTTATTATGGCTTTGAGCTTCTTTGAACAAATGATTATATGCAGAATGTATTAAACATCCAGAAAATAGCCTAAAGGTATGGCAATTTAAAAAGTGCTACTGCTTAAATACGCTCAAGCTTCTTTGGATACTCAATATTATATACTGTGTGCGACTCTCTTAAAATGACATAGCTCAGACTGAAAATTTTTGGATGATCTTTGGGTCCTCCCCCTGAACCCATCTCTCAAAGAACAGTGATTTATTTTTGAACAAAATGTCTCTATTGTTCCAAATCAGGTAACTGTGTGGTGAGAAATAGTATTTAAAGACCATGCTAGAAGGACCTGTTCATGAAATGCAGATAATTTCACAGAGAGTTTCTCAATATTGTAATTACAACATAAAATAAAACTTAGGCCACCAAATCTAGAGAAAATGTGATGGGGAATAAAGTTCCATATCAAAGTGGTTTTTTTAGAAAATGCTTAGTCCAGTTGATCTTGAAAGTATTATTTAGTGTAGTAAAATCCAGTTTAGTTTAGTTTATTCATTAATTTCAAACCAAACAAAAAAATACAACACATACAACATAACAAATCCACAGGACACCACTGATAACAAACAATGTAACAACCACAAACAAACAACAGCAACACAGTTTGAAAGGGGGATGGAAGAAGCTAGGCCTGTCAGGATAACAGATTTTGCTGGGCGATTAATTGCGTCAGAAATTATTGCGATAAGTGATAATATTTCATAATATTGTGCTTTTAAGACCATTTTTATTATTGTTGTAATTTTGCTGTTTTTAGACCATTTTTTAAACTTATATAATGATAATAAAGGCATATTGATGCAAGTACACCCTTTTAAAGAGAAAGAAACATTTATTTAACAAGAATATTTAGGAATGCAAAAAAAGAAAATTTAAATATCCGAAATAACACGTAAAAACATCGAAATAAATAAATAAAAATAGACTGACAGTCTCTCACTCTCAGGTGTGCAGTTAAGTTGGTCGTATTTGCTCTTGTTGTTGAGATGGTTTTAGAACAAAGAAACAAACACACCAGCTCGTCCAAATTACTGGGCACCACCCTGTCATTTGGTTTCAATCCAAAACACTCCCACACGTGGCATTTGGTTTAGGAACAAGTTCTCCATCTTTCTCACGCTCAACTCACTTTTTATTTTCTCCGCCTCGTCTCCACCTCACAAAGATTGCACTGTGTGTGTGTGTGTGTGTGTGTGTGTGTGTGTGTGCGTAAAATGTGCCCATTCAAACTGCAATTTTTTTTTTTATCTCACTTCCATTAAAGCATAATAAATGCATTTTATTATATCTGGGTGTCAGTCTGGGCTTTGGCCTTGGAATTGATCTTTTTAAAAAAATAAATAAAAATTGGAAATAATATTAATGTATGATATTTTTTAAAGCTACCTTATGCAAAGCTCTTTTGATTTGATTTTGCTTACCCCTAGAAATACGCAAAACCTAAATAGCCCAACAGAAAACAGGTAATGCAAAACCTCTCAAATATCGCTAAAAAGTTTTTACGCTCTCATGAGGGTAACCAGTGACCCGTAAAAAACGCTAAACATGTAGCGCTCAGCGCAGAATAGACACTCAGTGCCTTGTCAGGCTGCTGTTGTTTGTTGCAGAATGTAAATACGTGATGCGCTGATTGCAAAAAATTATAAAAAAATACGCTGGCCTCAGAAAAAAAGCTTCTCTTTTTGATGAGTCGAGACAAAGCTGTTGCTGCAACTGCACTTGTTGCTGTCTTCCAGGTGTTGTTGTAGTTCTACTGTGCTGGTAGGCGTCTTGATTCTTCCTTTGGCTTTAAACGACAAACTAGAACACTTATAGGTGTTTATTCTTCCTTGTTAGGTCCGAAAGAATAGCAACGTACCACAGGAAAATGAGTTTTCGGAAGTTTGGTATTGACTTGGTACTGAAGCATCGGTTCTCACATCCCTAGCGAGAACAGCCTCACAGGGCTGCGAACATGGCTGCAGATTCTTGTTCTAGCTTGACTATATTTAAAAATTTCGGATAATGTTAAAATTGTAAACGTATTTGTCACTCTTCGGACTGTAACTTTGACCTGGGTAATGCCAGTTTTTTTCTTTTTTTTGTAATGGATATGGGCTTCTTTGAACAAATGATTATATGCAGAATGTATTAAACATCCAGAAAATAGCCTAAGGTGTGGCAATTTAAAAAAAGTGCTACTGCTTAAATACGCTCAAGCTTCTTTGGATATTGAATATTATATACTGTGTGCGACTCTCTTAAAATGACATAGCTCAGACTGATTTTTAGAGGGTATGTACAAGATGAAGTCTGACTCCTGAAAAAATATGTCAATATTGCAGCTTTTTTACATGCTCTCTCTGTCTCTCCTTCGCTCTCTGTCTCTCTCATCTACACACAAACGTGTTAAGTGCCAATGGGGAAATAACATATGACAGAGCATAATTTAGCGCACATCATCTGCCTCACTGCTGTCGTAACACCTCACAGAGAAAATATCAAGGAGCACTGGTTATTTCCCTCAGCGCTTTCACAAATGCCTGTGGGTGGGCAAAAAATATGATGATATTATCCCATGAACAAAATAGTATGTCTGCTGAAAAGGAGCCAAAGGAAAATGAGATGGAGGCAGTGTGGTGTTAAAAATGCCCCTGATACTCACCATCAGCCTGCGATGCTTCTTGAACTCCACGGTGTGATCGTACACTCTGATCTTAAGCTCCTGTAATCTGTGGTGTTCCTCATTTTCATCACTGTCATCATCATGTTTGTCATCATCGTCATCATCATCATCTTCATCTCTAACTCTGCGACTTTGGTCTTCTTCACTGCTACTGTCATCATGATGGTGACTATCATCGTCATCATGTGCGGTATTGATGCCCTCGATGTAGACGTGTGGAAGGTTATTTGGCAAGTTGTTGGTTCGGACCAGCACATACGAGTGCTCACCCTCAAAGTCATGCTTCATTTTATCAAAGGTTCTGTACTCTGGGTCTCCTGTGATGGTGCACTCACTGAAGCCTGTGGAGCAACACATGTAGAGCAATTAATACATGAGTGAACAAGATGTAACATAGTTTGCATACAGAGTTAAATGTTTAGAGTTACAGCACCTGTGGACTGGCAGTAGTAATCGCCCTCCTCATTTTGAAGACACACAGCATTTCCATTGCACTCATCATCGTCATCGCAGTCAATCTCCCCCACGCCATCGTCTTTCTCACATTCACATTTCTGATGACAGTGGTCGGTGTACCACACTTCATTGAACTGACAAAAAAAAACAGAGTCATTGTAATAGTAGGACATCAGTGTCCACATGCACCATTTTTGGCAGTAATACTCAGCCTTTCAGAAGGTAGACCTGAGCATTTGACACTATTCAAGACTTGTGGCGTCATTGAAGAGTCATTTTACTACTCACATGATGTTTGGTGCCATTCCTGTCCACACATCCACATTGTTGGATGGGCACACAAACCCTCCCTCTCCGTACAAAACCATCATCACATACACATCCCGGCACACAGCCATCATCATCACTGCAGCGAGGCGGGCCATTCAGGTATGTACAGGTTGGACTACAGGTAGGGATACATGTGGTGTAATGACTGTTCGCTGGGCAGGATGGTGCTAGAGCGACAGAGTGGTAGAGACAGAGTATATACTTAGATCTAAACATAGAGTCTGGTGACTAATATGTAAAAATGTGCATTATGGAGAAAGGGAATTGGCTTGGGCAGTATCATGGTGTTACGGTATTCCAGGGTATTTAGAAATCCTGACGGTATGATTTTCATTGCCGCCGAAAATACAGATGCCCCTCTTTCAGTTAAACTCATACTGAGATGCTGTATTGAGGGTGTATGTATTATATGTATGTAGTGCCACACATTAATTCTATCAAATACTGTATACCCTGGTGAAATTTAAGGAATGTATGAAGGTATGAACAAAATACATACCGCCCAAGTTTGATAAGGAAATAAAAACTTTAAACTTACTTGGTACAGGTGTAGTTGGTGGTTGTGGTCTAGCTGTTGTAGATTGTGGCATAGCTGTAGTTGTAGGCTCAGGTCTTTGTGTTGTTGAATGTGGTTTAATGGTTGTGGTAGGTAGTGGTCCAGCTGATGTTGTGGGCTTTGGTGTAGTTGTTGTGGTTTGGGGTTCAAGGGTGGTTGGTGGTTGAGGTTTCACGGTTGTTTGGGGCTGTGGCTGAGTTTCAGATGGAGGTTGTGGTCTAGCTGTGGTTGGAGGTTGTGGTCTAGCTGTAGTTGGAGGTTGTGGTCTAGCCGTAGTTGGAGGTTGTGGTCTAGCTGTGGTTGGAGGTTGTGGTTTAGCTGTAGTTGGTGGTTGTGGGTTAGTTGTTGTTTGTGGCTGAGTTTCAGATGGAGGTTGTGGTCTAGCTGTAGTTGGAGGTTGTGGTCTAGCTGTAGTTGGAGGTTGTGATCCAGCTGTAGGTTCTTGATTTTCTGTTGTTTGGGGTTGGGGTCCACCTGAGGTTTGGGGTTCATTAGGTGTAGCTGGTTGCCCTGGTCTTGTTGTCATTTGAGGGTTTTCTGTAATTTCAGGTTCTGGTTGCTCAGAAGTTTCAAGTCCTGGTTCTGTTGTTGTTTGGGGTCCATCTGTAATTTCAGGTTCTGGTTGCTCAGAAGTTTCAAGTCCTGGTTGTGCTGTTGTTGGGTGGGGTCCAGCTGGGGTTTTGGGCTCATCAGTAGATGATGTATCTGGCTGCTCTGATTCTGCTGTTGTTTGGGGTCCATCTGTAATTTCAGGTTCTGGTTGCTCAGAAGTTTCAAGTCCTGGTTGTGCTGTTGTTGGGTGGGGTCCAGCTGGGGTTTTAGGCTCATCAGTAGATAATGTATCTGGTTGCTCTGGTTCTGTTGTTGTTTGGGGTCCATGTGTAATTTCAGGTTCTGGTTGCTCTGAAGTTTCGAGTCCTGGGTGTTGTGTTGTTGGGTGGGGTCCAGCTGTGGTTTGTGGCTCATTAGAAGATATAGCTGGTTGCTCTGGTGCTGCTGTTGTTTGGGGTCTATCTGTAATTTCAGGTTCTGGTTGCTCTGACGTTTCAGCTCCTGGGTGCTCTGTTGCTGGTGGGTGGGGTCCAGATGTGGTTGTTGTTGTTGATGTTATTGGTAGCTGTGGTTTTGTTGTTGGGACATTAGGATTTGAAGTTTTTGGAGTTGTAGTTGTTGCTGGCCTTGAAGGGGTTTGTGTGTCACAATTGGTTGTGGCTGCTGTTGTTGTGGGGGTGGTGGTTGTTGTGGCGGTGGTTGTTGATGGTTGTTGTGGTTTTGATGAAGTTGCTGTTTGTGGTTGTGCAGCAGTTGGGCTGTTGGCTGGAGGATGCTCTGGACCTTCTGTTACAACTGGATTGAAGGTTGATGGGGCAGGTTTTGTTGGTTTGGCCACGTCTGTAATTACAGTTCACAATCCAGTCAGTCGCACTCATTTTCAGTTGTGATGTGTTTGAATTAAATTGAATGTCAATAGGAGGACAGAATTACCTGTGCAATGCCCACGGTGAAGTGATACGTCATCAATAGCAACATCAGACTGATCGTTGGAACCTATACGTCCCTCAAATATGATCTAAAAATAAGTGCGCAGGTTAATACTAAAGTATTGTATGTTTTTTATAGCATAGATTCATTGTGTCCAATTGCACTCATTCTTTATGGCAGGTAGTAGTACCCTATTAGTGTTTTGCTCTGTTTTGCACATTAGACGGTTTAGGAGAAGAAACCTCTCACCTGGAAAGCTCCAGTTGTTGTGATGTCCACCTGAGCCAGGTGCCACATATTTCCTTGGTCATTTCGCTTCTTCCAAACAGCAATGGCTAAGTTGTTCTGGAGCAGGTAAACATGGAGGCCCATTGTGTCTGCTGAGCCGTACATATGGTACCAGAACTGCAGACACTGAGGACCAGAGTCAGAACACTCAGAGCTGATAAGACGAGACGTGTCTCCATATGATTCGCTGTTGGCTTCAATGTAAAGATAGTGACCACCTGGTAAAGGACAGAAGAGTAAGATAAGTTGAAGGTATGTACAGCATATAAGAAACTTTTCTTAGATAATGTTTTAAGTTCAAGGCATGTCAAGTTGCAGCTGAAGCTGGTTGCTGAAAGACAAAAAAACCCAGCTTAACCCATGAGCAGCAGCTCTACTGCCATACCCCCTGGATGCTAATGGCAAGATATTTTATCTGGATGAAATACAGGAACAGCCTACCATTCTGGTTTGATGAGGAAGAGGAAGTACTTGTTATCAGTGTGACAGTGGCTTAATGTTTTCCCTGTCAGTTCTACACCAGCTTTACTTGGCCTGTGTCAGAAGGCTAATTACCTCCTGTGGTGTGATCTGAAGACGGCCCCGTTAGCATAGTGGGAGTGGAGCCACTATGCCTTGTCCAATCAAAAACGTCCGTCAGAAGTTGACTCCACTGACAGAGATCTTGTTCAAAATTACAGTTGAGTTGGCACACTGGAAACAAAAGTCAAACATATATTTAGATCACCAGAAATCACAAAAAAACTGGATGTGGAAAAATTAATTTAAGTTCAAACACTGGGGGTGTACCAGTGCTGCTGTGGAATTAGCACTGTACCTGGGTGCGGTGGTTTTCCATCAGCTGGAGCTACTGTAACATTGCCGTCATTAATGACATTAGTTGTTGCCTCCACTGCGGGAGGTATGGTGACATTTGCTACAGGGGGCAGAGCTGTAACATTGACCAGAGGAGGCTCTGGAGCTGCAGTGGTTGGCACAGGGACACTCGGAGGGTTTGTTGCCACACCACCACTCATATCTGCAACAGTGTAAGAACGGTTAATACCTGCAAATATTTTAAACATTACCAGGCTACACAGCCTTCAGATAAGCAACATTTTTAATGTTCAGTGGTGTGGTACTTATTTAGTGTGCATGTTTCTTACAAGAGCATCGTCCACGATAAAGCTTTACATCATCTATTGCCACATCGGATTCTTCATTGGAGCCTCTACGCCCCTCAAAGATGATCTGAGTTGGAAAAAAAATCCTTTGTTACTATTTGTAAGATGTCTCTTATAGTTAATATTTTACAGTGATGGCATCATTGGCTGACACTCTTTAAATCTATTGAGTGCCTGGTGGAAGATGTCTGACCTGGAAAGCTCCAGTTGTTGTGATGTCCACCTGAGCCAGGTGCCACATATTTCCTTGGTCATTTCTCTTCCTCCAAACAGCATGGGCGAATCTGTTCTGGAGCAGGTAAACATGGAGGCCCATTGTGTCGGCTGAGCCGTACATATGGTACCAGAACTGCAGACACTGAGGACCAGAGTCAGAACACTCAGAGCTGATAAGACGAGACGTGTCTCCGTATGTCACACTGCTGGCCTCGATGTAAAGATAGTGACCATCTAGAAAAGATGAAATGATCAAATTTTAAGATACGCTTTCCATGGTGAGACAGATTCTTTCCTTACCTTTATATTATCTGTCATTATTGATCATATTACATAGAGAAAGAGTGTATTACCACCAGTGTGGTCAGCAGAGGGCCCAGTCATCAGGGTGGGGGTGGAACCACTTTGCCATGTCCAGTCAAAAGCATCTGTGATCATTTGATCCCAGCTACAAAGGTTGCTGTCGAAGCTACAGTCCATATTGCAGACTATAAGGAAACATTTGCAAAAAATGAACATGAACTAAGTAATGAGGCCCTTATACAACTTGCCAAACTGTAGACAATCTATAACCTATATTACCATCAGAAGTTGTTCATTCACTCAACATAAATGTTAATTTTCAACCACTCAGCCTTCTGATGCCAAAACAAGAGGCCCATAAAATACAGCTTCCTGAGCACTGTACCTGAGTGTGAGGGAAGGACTTCCGTTGTCATGGGAGGAAGTTCAGTTCCACCACCCAGGCCAGGGAAGGTACCTGAAGTGAAGTAATTATTGACTTTATTTAAACCCTGAGACATCTGGTGTGGTTATGATTTGAGGTCTTAATTTATTTGCACCATTAAAGCCGTTTCACACCAAGCATGGATAGTGGACCGAAAAAATCACAAGGAAATTTCTAAAAGAAAAGATTCTGTGGGTTCTTATGAATGTGGAACATTAGTGTGGGAAAAGATATATTCGGATGAACCTCGATTTTAGTGGATTTCCGCCTGCGTAAATATATACCAAAACAATTATTTGTTCCAACTGATGTCATACCTCAGGACACTGCCAGCTTGCTGCCAAAATGGGGAACGTCTTATCAATTTGTTTGTTTTTTTTTTACAAACTCTGATGACTACCTCAACAATTAAATAATGGACAGTATATGGCTTGAGATTGTCCAGCAGCTGCTAACGCTATGTTAGCAGAATGGGGCTAGCCACAACAGCTAGCGTTAGAATCAAACTTGGAGTCTGATTGCTTTAGGTAGGTGGCACAGTGGTACAGTGGTTAGCATTGTTGCCTCACAGAAAGAGGGGTCCTGTTTCAAACTCAGGGTGGGGTTCTGTGTCAGCTGGGTTTTCTCCGGGCACTCCAGCTTCCTCTCACAGTCCAAAGACATGCAGGTTAATTGGTGACTCTAATTTGCCCATAGGTGTGAATGTGAGTGTGAATGGTTATTGTCTCTGTGTCAGCCTTGTGATAGTCTGGTGACCTGTCCAGGGTGTAACCTTCCTCTCACCCAGCGTGATGAGCTCCAGCTCCCCGTGACCCCCAACAGGATAAGCAGTTACAGAAAATGGATGAATTACTTATGTATTTTGTAGTTAATGTTAGCCTCTTAGACTTTCTCTGTCTAAGTAGGTTTCTGTTTTGTAGAGTGGACACTGAGTGGGCTTCATTCACTAAACCTGTGGATGATGAATCACGGATGATTCGCACCAGACCCGTAATCCTGTACTGCATTTTCGCATTGCACTAGTGAGAAACGGCTTTTACAATGAAAGTTATTCCACAAATTAAATTGTTTCATCCATCAAAGTTATGATACCGTGGCCTACATCTTTATTCAAATTCATTCTCCTTTTAATTAGAGGTGAACATCACCTGAGCATGCACCAAAGTGGATGGAAATGTCATCAATGGCCACATCTGATTGATCAGTAGAGCCTCGAATTCCCTCCACTATGATCTGAAAGAGGATGGAAAATATTATTTCACTATATAGAATACGATGAACACGTCGGCCCATTTATTGTCTGTTTATAGTGTCATACTTACTTGGAATGGACCAGACACTCTGATGTCAACATTTCCCAGATGCCATTCTGGTCCCTGGTTGTTCCTCATGGACCAGAGCTTGGTAGCTTTTTTGTCTTTGAGCAGGTAGATATTGAGGGCCATGGCAGTGGCTGAACCATACATATGGTACCAGAAGTTCAGGCAGAGTGGGCCATTATAATGGCAATTTGAGCTCCACAGACGAGCTGAATCTCCGTGGGTTACACTGTTTCCCTCAATATACATGTAGTAGCCAGCTAGAGAAATGTTGAAAACAGCACGATAAACATGAATAATGAAATACAGATGCAGCAGATGTGATAGTGTGACCTGAATTCAGATTTTACCTCCAGTGGTGTGGTCTTGGTTTGGGCCAGTTAAGCTTGTTGGGGTGGGTCCTGAGTGTCTTGTCCAATCAAAACTATCCTGTACCAGCTGCTCCCACCCACATAAATTTCTTTCAAAGTCGCAGTTTATGGGGCAGACTGTGAAAAATCACATAAACACAGTGGAAATCATAAGCATTATGAACTAATTATACATAAGAATATTAGAGTATGAGATATATGAATGAATCAACCACAGAAATATTATTTCATCCAATCTTTACATAATAATATCACGGTCATTCAGATATATTCAAGACAGTTATACAGTTATATATTAAACATCTCTCCAGGTTTTTGAGACAGTTATGAATAAATTATTAATCATAAATTGGATTATGCCACTGATAGTCCAACCCAGCACCAAATAATCCTTCCCAACCGTGAATGCTCTTACAAGGCTGATCAGGTGTTGGAGAGGTAGGAGCTGGAGATGTTGGAAGAGTTGCAGTTGTTGGGGGGTCAGCTGAAACGGGGACAACAGAACAAAAAGCCAAACAAAAGAAGAAACAAAAAAAAAAAAAACAAAAAAGAAGGGAAATGAGTTCACACGCTTAAACTTTCTGGTGCCCTAGCAAATCATTTGCATGAGGCAACCCCCTCCACATCTGAATCACCTAGTTTCTCCAACGTTGCTTATTTCATTGACAAAGAAACATAAAACCATTGACCCAGGCATGGCTCTAGGCTGTTGCCTAGATGGCTTATGCAGTGGGCCGGCCCTGTGTCATAATCCAAACAATGAAAAACAGAAGGAGAAAGATTTAAAGTTATGGGAAAAGAAAATCAATAAGTAAGAAATACAGGACATGTAAAAGAATAACTTCATCTAATCTTTTGTGCTAATAAATCACCATATTTCATTTTGTCAAAAAATGCTATCGGTTTAGTCATAACCAGATACCATTACACATACATCAGGGCTCCAGAGGTTTGTCGCACATATCTGTCAGATGCGCCTAAACAATTTTATTGATGGCACTGGTGCACCTGCCTGACATTTATGACACTGATGCAGGTAATGTAGAACCAAAGTTCACAAGCATGAGCTGTAGGCCTACTCCATTAGCAACAGGTCCAGTGGTTAGAAAAACAAGCAGATTGACGTGCGAATCAGGGTGCTTTCACGCCTACTGTTTGGTTCAGTTCAGTGGAACTCAAGACTGTTTGCCCCCTGAGTGTGGTTCGTTTTTCCCACATGGAAATTCTGACCAATCAAGAGCAGCTTTCTGGTGCAAGGCATTTGATCTGGTCCACTTGCCGTGAGACAATTATGTGACTTTGTAACAAAATTAGTCCCTGATTTGGACCAAACCAAGCAAACTCTACATCTGAAAGCACTGTCAGTCATGTTATGGCGAGTGCGAATAAAACGGTGGAGCTGGAAGACACCTGTGGGTTCTCAATTGGTCAGTTATGACAGCACTGGAGAGACAGTTGTGTTTAGGATGGTCTGACGGTGTTGCCCTACCTTTGTAGGGTATGTGATGGAAACACATCGAACATGCTAACGCAGACTGAAAGGCATCACCTAGATGTGTTGATTACCAGAACGAGGAACAATAATCCAAAGCCCAACTCCTTATTCCTACTGCATTCAAGCAGCCTTTAGATGCAAAAGCAAATGTTGTATCTTGATTTTATGATTTCTTGTTTTACAATTCTATGATTTTATAATGTCATGATTTTATGACTTTTTCATGACTTTTAAGATTTATGGTTTTGCTATGATTACTGGGTCGTGGTTGTGTATTTGGCAGAGAAAGACTGTGGTGAGTTTTATTTGAACTATAGTGTCTCAACTGGGTGGTAGTTGATTCTGGCCGTACCCAGCACAGACAATACCTATAGTGAGGTTAACGCTAGAGAAGACTTTCGGTTAATCAGTGTCTTTTGGTAACTCTGTGCCCGGTGGAAATTATAGACCCTGGTTGTTAATGACGTCTGAAGGCCTGAAAAGTGACGAAAGAAGAAATGGTATATGAGATTTCAAATAATAGAATCTCAAATCACCACCACTTTTAAATGAAAATTATATATGCGTACTTATA